TGGAAAGCAGAAATGACACTCTAAATGTTTCAACTCTGCTTTTTCCCTCCTGTCTAATGGCAGGAAACTGGCATAATGAATAAAACTCCGGAAAACTTCTCATATTATTTATTTCTATTTTCCTTAATTTTTAGTCAGGGTAGATTTATTTCTACACTTTTTGTTTAGCCAATATCTGTGCTATCCTTTCTGAAAAAGGTACCAACATAGCATTCAGGTCACACTATCACTCAGGTCACGAGAACACCACCTGATGCCATATTTGCAGACATATTTTTGTCCAGTATACTGTATATTTATAAGCCAGAATTAACATGCCACACTGGGACTTCTGGTTGAACCAATCCTGAAAGCCCTCCAGGTGTGGAAAGAGAGAAAATGGTGCTGATCTCCTGAAGCCGTGTCAAGCAGAAGGAATAAGACGATTGTGTGTGTGTGTGTGTGTGTTTGTGTTTGTGCCACGGGACCAAAATGTGAAGAGTGGTTTTGCTGGTTCAGTGCATCCTGGTTGAGATCAAAATCATCTCAAACTTGTGTGAATGAGGTCTCCAAGGAGGGTAATGGAGAAAAAAAGCCGGCTTGGTGGCTTGTGGTAGATCGTGTGTGTCCATTTGTGTGAGTAGATATACTATATGGCTCCAAACAGGATCTCAACTGAATCGTTTTGTTTTGTTAAATATTTTGCTCACTAATGACTGACTTTTACGTGATTTTGTGGTAATATTTATTCAAACACAGTACAGTGACAGAGGTGAGCAATCTTCTGAGACATATTTTGGAGGGATTGTATAAAATATTAGTCATGATGAATCATACTTAAGCAATATATGCTATACCATATATGGCAATATAAAAAATATACCTTTAATCTGCATTTGATTTCATAACAGAACATAAAATACAGGTTACATCTGCTAGTTAACACCTACTGTAATCTACTGGGAATGTGCCTTTGCATGTATTTGATTGGCCACCCCAGCTCCTTTCTGGATGACATTACATTACATTTACACATTACATTGTGGTCTGGCTAAAGGGCTAGCCCTCTGCGTTCCACCACCACTGCACCACTGCAAATGAATAAGTGCACTGTGGAAGGCCAAAGTCGTAAAGTAAATGTCGTCTAGGTCACTAAACAAATGTGCCATGTTCTCACTCAACAATTGTATCTCTACTTTGGCTTTAGAGGTTCCTCAAGTTTAATTCATATAAGTTTGATAAATAAGGGCCCTGGGCACCAGATGCTTTTTTACGTAAATGAGTACATGTCAGTATGAAGGCCATGATGAGTGTGTGCGGTCTGACTTATGCCACCATCTGTGACACATTTCAGACTAAAGACAAATTTATTTGGGACAGCTAGTTCAATTGGGTGTCCCTGAAATTAATGTAAGTCTATGTAATATCTCCAAAAGTAACACAAGTAAACATGCTTGTGTTAGTGTGTGTTTGTTTGACATTTCCTATGCCTACCATGACGTCATGCCTCTTGACTTCCCCCCCAGTAGGGAGTCCTTCATTAGCACCCAGTGAGAGAAGCAAGAGGAAGGAACAGTACCTGACCCAACACTCATACCATGAAGAAGCTTCCAGGAAAAACAGATTTGCTGTTGTTCTTCTCTTTCACACCAGCAGCTGTGAATATAACGGAGGGTGGCGACCGTTAACAGGGGTTATTAAGCAGCTCTTTACAATCCACACACCCTGACACATTTGATCATCCAATGACATCTAATTATGTGACCGCCTAATGTTGGGTTTCTCCGAGGTCAAGCTGCCACTATTTGCCATGCTGAGAACGCTTTTTGGAAATACAGAGGTAATTATTACAGAGAGCCGCTCTCTCATTAGAAACAGTGTGTATCTGAGCGTTGCAGAGAGTGAGAACAAAATCTAATTCACCCTCTTCTCACCCAGCCTTCTGTGACATCAATACTCCATTATAGCTCCTTGTCCCCAGGGTATAGACAAACTCAGACTACTACACATGTGCGTGTACATATTTACACACAGTTACAACGCATGAAGTCATTGAAAAATATAGCATTTTGTCATAATTTTTGTAAATACCATACGCAGAACACAAACTTTTACAGGTTTATTTATTACAATAGTGGGAGATGGGTTGAGGAGACAGGATAGCTGGTTATGGCAGAGGGTAGAGGATGAATAGTGAAAGGAAAGGAAGTGTGGCCAGCGGAGGTAGCGGGGAAGCGTTGGTTAGCAAGCAGGGAGACAGCGTGAGATGAACACTGTGCTGAGCAATGAGTGGGAGTTGAGCCAGGGCAGATGTACTGCTGCAACTGCGATTTATTTTGTAGTATGCAAGGCCAGGCTTAGCCGATTTCTGGAAAACGGAAGTAAACATTATTTTATTCTGTTAACTTTCGATTAATAAACTGAATTCAAAGATCTCTGTGAGTGATTTTTCCTTTAGTTGTGAGCCGCAAAGCACCAAAAAGATGATAATTAGAAGAAAATAAGGAGTTGGCTAAACAAGTCACTAAACTACACTTTGGAGTCTAAAGAAGCAAACATAGTAAAAGAGAGGTTGCATATCCAGCTGATCACACTGACTACACCTGAAGCAGCCGCAGCTGCAGCCGGAGACTCCGTGAGGAAAATCAGCTGTTCACTGCAAATAAAAATGTACAGAGAAGTGTTAAATGATACCAGAAGATGAAACCAAGGGAAAGCCAAGCTTGTGGTGATAAACTTGCAACAGTGACTTGCCTGAGACCGCAGCTGAAGGTGAGCGGCTGTTAAAATCACGCATGGACTCGGTGCATGCAGGCACATAAGGGGGAAAAAAAGAGTCGTGCGCTTCTCATGTTATTTGAGTGTTTACGAAAGTATTTACTGAAGTACTGGTTTGACTGGAGACGTTTCGATACTACTCGATACTGGGCTGTTTCGATCGATACCATAAAGGTATCGAGTAGCGATACCCATCCCTACCCATAACAAAGCCATAATGGCTTTTGAGATCCCGAAGACAGCAATGTTAACCTTAGCAAGCTGTCAATAAAAAAGCAACACGACATACATAGCCTAGATCCAGCGTTGCATTATATTTCTTCTTATCAGGGACAGCTAAATTCCTCCTTGTCCACCACTGAGACTGGGATGCTGAGGCTCACCATTTCAACAATGACCAGTTGTGTTCAGTCTAGCCCTTTGCACTGTGGGACACTGTACATGAGGAAGACTGGTCCAATGCATACTGGAGATTTTTTCCTAATCAGTATGACATCTGAGTATTTTTAGCAACCTGCAGACATGGCCAAATCAGTACATACTGCTAGTCTAGTAGGCGTTTCAAATACAGCCGTAGACAGAGACAGATAACACCGGCTTTGTGTTTTAACATGTATTTTGATGTATGTAACAATAATTTCTACAAGAATTGGATTGACATGGTTTCATATACTCAGTCGGTCTCTGAACTTAATAATGTGCCCCAGATGGTTACACACTATAAGATTTCTCATTCAGATTTCGTTCATAAGGGATTAATAAGTGACAGTGTTTCACTTGCTCAACTTGACATGGAACAGCAGTTTACCGAAATTGTTGCCTGTACACAAAAAAAATGTTTTCTGCAGAGGCCCAGCTGATCTGTCCGATGTTTTTTTTTTCCAATTCCTTAAGTAGTATAACATTTTGTCTGCTAAACTCAACATTTCCAGTATACAGTAGCTTGGTTTTTTCAAGAGCGCTCTTTGACTACAGCTTATCAGGACAATCAGAACTTGTTATCATCAATCTCTCTCTACATGACAGCTGCATATTGAAATCAAGCGTGCCTTCAAAGATTGTTAACTCTGCAATGGCTCACGGTTGTGTGCTGTTAACATGCTGACATGTAGCTGCAGCAGGAATGACAGTCAGCACCACCTCGGCTTTAAACTCCATCATCCTTGATCTTACAAACTTCCGTCTGGGAAAGCTAAATCCAGGCTTTGTTTCTTCTACAGTAGGCTGCTCCTGGCCTTGCGGCTCAAACTGATCAAGAAATACAATTTTTGTAGTGCAGTTCAAGACCAGTCTCTCAAGCTGGATTACTTGCTGACAGGTGACCGTGCAATGCCAACTCAGAAGTTAAGCCTGAAAGTTCATTCTTGACCTTGGAAACAGATTTACGATAAAAACCATCTTACCTCAACGTCATCACCAAAATCCTCCTGCACAATTCACAACATAAGAAAAGTAAACTGAGTGAAGCTGCTAACATACGTAACTTTTCTCAGCTGATGAACTTGCCAACACGGGTGCATATAAACTGCGCAGGAAGGAGATCAGCAACATGTATCAACCTCATCTTTACTAATGTTAAAGAATTGTGCAAGTCTGCATCAATTTCTGTTGGTTTCAGTGACCATTTGCTAAAAAAGGCATATTTCCTTAAGCGGGACCAAGAGTTCTCTATCAGAGATCTTTCAGAAGCTTTTGTGAGAGTGATTTTATGAGGGACATAAAGCAGGTACGGTGGGGTAGAGTGTATGCAATAAACAATGTGGAAAAAGCACTTCAGTTATTTATAGAATCTTTATTAGAGGTGTCTGATGAGCATGTTCCAATTAGAAAATGTACAGTTCAAACTACTTGGCTGGATAAGGGGGAAAAAGCATTAATGGCTCAGAGGGACAGAAAGAAAAAGGTGGCAAATAAGTCTGGTGATGCAGCTGCTCAAGTCATACTGTCCCGTGAGCCATTAGAGGCAGGGGTTACAAACTCCCTCCTATGTACGTCCAGTGTAACCATAGACTGTATAAAAGAAGTGGACGTTGTCACTGTGATGTAACACATTGGTTTGTGGACCACAGTTTTAAAGCCTTGAGTCTGGCATTTTGGTCATTGCCATATTGATTTTTTGCAACCAGGTGCAGGATGGGATGATATTTGGACAAGAGGGTGGCGCTAGCTATCTTTTTTAGCAAGGCGCATCCGTAATTCATGTTAACTGTGATATTAACTGGGATGTTCATTTCGGCTAGGGAAAAAAAAAAAACATAGAACAAAATGTACTTATTGGAAAAATTAATAGCCAACTCCTCATAAACTTTTTAAACGGTGCTGGTTAAATTTACACAAAGCAGTGGATATGAGTTGTCTCTATCCTAATTGACAGGTCGCCATAGTAGCGACTTGTCAATCCCAAGGCAGCCCCGCACTAAGGCATACCCTGCTGTATCATCTATTTATCCTCTAAATGGCACCATAACTTACTAAATGAACATCATGCTGTATTGAAGAAGAGCTAGGGTAGGTCAGGTAATAAATCACGTGAGAAGTGGGGTCATTTTGTCATATCCAATGCAATCTGACTTCTTTTTTAGCAAGTTGCCCCCTGCTGGCCATGAAAGAGAATTGGGTTAAAGGCACTTCCGCATTGGCTTCACTTTTCAGACCCAGAGGTTCCTGCTAGATTACAACTGAGCAAATGCCAACTGATGATGAGGACTGTTGGACTAATTGAAAACATCAGACTTTATTTTACTTGACATCAATTTACATTTAAATAAAATAATTAAAATAATGCCTTTCATCTACCACAATCATATTCAACAGGGGGGCAGCATGAATGGAAAATGTACACAGTGGACTCTTACTGCCAAGGTTAGCGTGATATGATATTAAAGTTACACATTGTTCAAAATCACATTAAAGTTATAGAGCCTTTGTGTGCCATGGTATGAATGTGGCTCTATTCCATTTTCTCACAGAAGTGCTCACAGGTTGAGAGGCTACAGAGGAGCTGAAGTGCATCTTAAGATAAACTTCCAACCAGGCGCTTATTGTTTTACCTCAGGCACTTTGTCAGCCCTCTATTGTCTGATGTTAAACTTGGAAATGATGCGCTAGATAAAGACCACAGGAAGAAAGGAAATACACGAGGTGGGCGTTTTTCTCCGACAAAGAGACAGAGAGAGATTGACCAGGATACAGGGAGACATGTAGAGGGCAGGTGGCAGACTTAGTGAGGCAGGCAAAAGGGAGGGTGGGAGAGTAGAGTGATACTTCTGTGCTGGAGACGGCGTGTGGGGGAGAGGGACAGGTTTGCGTAGGGAGGATATATTACACGCAGTTCCATTAGTGAGTGTAATGGTGCTGAAAGGCTGCGTCCTGGCGCTGTTGACCGTGATGATAGTAGGAGTTGAATTAAACAGTCTCTGTCAGGCAGCGCTGGTCATGTACCAGGCTATCAAAGAGAAACACACCACACACAACTCCTTTTATACAGCCATATCACCATACATCAAACCAACCGAAGCCTTTGTTTTGGTTTACTGATGGAGTGTGTGCTCAGCGTGACACAAACTCAAAATAATGACGCATGGTAATTGCCTCTGTAGGGTGTACAAATTTACAGCTAGTGCGGTGTGGGCACAGGTAATTGCTTTTCACAGTACCACCCTCAATAACAGTGATAATGTAATGATTGTTACATGATGTGAAATTGGTGACAAAAATTGGTGATGTGAAATTAGAGACCCTATCTAAACACTACCACGTTTGGTAACAGCTATCAAAATAAAGCCTAACAATAAACACACATATGACCTGAGACAGATGAACCCTCATATTATCTTGTGATTTATTACCTTGCTGATAAACTTTTAAGAATTGTAATCTAAAAATTCCTCATTGTACTGTGTTTGATAATTACCCGTCCATTTAATAATCTATTTCATTATTAAGAAATAATAATATAATACCGATAGTCTAAGGATGACCGTGAGCAGCTGTTAGACTCTGTCCACCAGCAAACTTGTTTATCACAGTTGTCTGAACCTTATTCACTGCAGAGATCTTTGGGCTCACTGGAAAATGGACCAGGGTCACTGTGAATTATGCAGGCCAAAGGGCATACTGATCAATAGAGGTTTTTAAGTGGTGCAGGTCCGACCTACGAGACATATTGATTCAGTTTCATGTCTTGTTGGTGCACTTGTGCATGGAATTCATTGCGTTACAGCAGCTATCTTTTCAACGCTAGGGTCTTAACCCCCTCAGGTTTCTTCTCTCTCTCTCTCTGGTTACCTTTAACCAATGTAATAGAGGACACACAAGGGTCAATTAAGGGTCATTGATCAAAACTGGCTATGGGTGGAGACCATGTGAAATGCAGTGTGTTTTCTTCAAAGAACCTGAGTAGTAATGAAAAATTAGGGTCCATCAGTCCATAGATTGCAGGAGGAGGTGAAACCAGCTTCAATTGAAAATAATTCCTTAACCAGGGTGGGTTTCTGAATCGTCTTCTCTGTTCAACAACGTTGAGTTGATTGGGGAGTGTTCATAGAGACACCTGGGATCCTTTGGGGGTCTGTGATTTAAATGCCAAGCACAAAAGACAATAAGAGAAGGGAAAAGAAAATACGAACAACATATTTGGGTTCTAAATGTCAAAGTGATTTAGGTTTTATTTCCTGTGTAAAATGAGCACATTATTCATTGTTTTTTCACTAAAACAATTCACTTAAATATTCAAGCACAAGAGATGCTAAAGTGCTATTTGCGAGGAATTGCATCATCTTAAGCAAAACACCTTTTCTCAACTTTCCCTGCAGGTATAACCATTTGGTTTGCTATGCTGCTTCTCTCATGGGTGCATTATCTACCACAGTTGTCTAAAGTGCATTTCAGAAAATTACAAACAAAATAGAAAGTGCATTGTGATTATTAGCAAGAAATGCAAAGGGTAATACAAAGAGAAGGATGGAAAGATAAATAAATTAATGAGTTTAGGTCCATGACTGAGAATTACACCACATTTCATAGAGTTTGTATGGGTAGTCTATAAATTCCCTGTGTGGGTTAGCGGTAATGACGTCGGCCTACCAAGCGTACCTTGATAATGTCACATTGACAAATCAGTGTTGAATCAGACGAGTGGTGTATTGTTTATGTTTTCAGATTTACTTAGGTAATTATGAGCGGGACAGAAAACGATAAAAGTCTATTTAAGCACTGAAAACATCCATCCATTCCAGCTGACATCGGGCGAAAGGCAGGGTACACCCTGGACAGGTCGCACTGAAAACAAGCATATTATAATTATTATTTTAATTGTGGTGAAAACTGGGATGTTTTAAGTGTTTTAGTTTTTTGACATTACCTCCACTGGTACAGTGTGAACCTACAAAGTTGAGCAGAGCTCTAAACTTGAAGGTAAATACATGATTAAACACTTAATTAGTAGCAGCACCCAAAAACAATCCCCAATTATAAAAACACAGCTAATGAAATAGTTGTTCTGTTTTAGCAGATTAAGCGCAGGCTCAGGAGAGTGTGGTCAGAGAAATTATGCTGCAGAACAGGCAGAAAATAAAGACTGAACGAGTAAGAGGAGAGAATGTGTGAGCCAGAAGGACAGAGAGGAGAGAGAGAGAGAGTGGAAGATAGAGACAGAATCTCATTAACGGTCTGAAGAATCTTTGGCCTTGGCCTTTAATGTGATGCTATGGCTCTCAGTCTTTGCCAGAAGCTGCAAACCTTCCCCCTCCCTTGCTCTCATCTCTCTCTCTGTCTTCCCTGGATCTCTCTCCCTTTTTTTATCCATTTCTTTTTTATTACTCTTGCATCTCCTCTCCCCCGGCTTCTCAGTGTCTTTCTCCTGCACTTCTTAATGCTGTGGAGCATGGCGAGATGGGTATTATTTATTTATGGTCATGCATTGTCTGTGTGCGTGGGCTTAAGTAATATTCATCTGAGCTGTGCTGCTATAATACAAAGCCTCATTCCTTCTCATATGCGAGGGATGAAACACGAGCAGTGGAGCCTGCTACGGTCCCTAAGTTTGAATACTCCCGACTCAAAGCTTTGTAGAGCTCAGCGTGCTTTGTTAAGAACTACAAAGAGGACAAACTGACTCTACCCGTTCGCATTTACTTCTTTCTTTAGCAATTTTTTTATAGCCTTTTCCTTTTGCTTGTGTCTGCTCCTCTTCTTTTCTCTAGTCCAGTGCTGCAGGGCAGGTCAGTGCTGTAGAAGTTAGGGTCCAGTGAAGCAGAAGCGCTTTATTCCACTGTAGAAAGCATCGTTTCCCATTAAATCTGGCTGGTGTTTTTCATCTGTCCCAGAGCAGGTTTTAATGGCTCATCACAGGACTTTAAGATTCCTCCTCTGTCTACCTTCATGCTGTTATCGTTCAGTGGGAAAAAAACACCAACCTAACAGCGGTACATTTTAAAGGGAATTTTCAGTTTTGACTGACACTGCTGTAATTTGGTGCAATACCTGTTTCAGCAGGCCTTTAAAAATGCTCATACGGTAATCTCACTTCAGTCCCAACCTGCCACACAGGTTGTTAGTCACACTTAGTCCCATCTGTTATTTCATTACTTGTTACAACATGTCATTATTTGAATAAGCAGGCAACATACGGAGTACTGAGGTTACAGGACTACCCGTTGCTGTAAGTGACAGCATGGTCATTTGGAACAATGAAAAAGACAAGGTCCTGGGTTTAATTCCCCACTGTGACACATCCACCAATATGTCCCTGAGCAAGACACTTAACTCCTAGTTGCTCCAGAGGCGTGCAGCCTCTGGCATATTTAGCAATTGTAAGTCGCTTTGGATAAAAGCATCAGCTAAATGAATAAATTTAAATGTAAGGTTAAGGTTAGCTAAACAAGAGGGTGCAATGAGCTATTAACAATTAGCCAGGATGCAATTAAAATAATGATTTTACCTTGACAGCTTCAAAATCATTTTAATGGTACACTTACGTGTAAAATGGAGAATGGCACCTCTTTCATTCCCACTCTGGGCTCCAAATGTGTATTCTTGCACTTGGGTGAACGGGTGGAACGATCTCCCGCGTAACGCTTTACAGCACTACATCACACACCACCAACTATGGGTTTTCAGCTAAGAAGAAGTTAGCTTGGTATTCTCAGTACATTATCTCTGTCTATCGTTTTTTCAACCTACTCTACGCTCACTTGTCCCGCAATATGACAGCTACAGTAGCTTGGATATTATCAATTTGAGACTGGTTGGAAAAAATTGAGAGACGCAGCTGGAGCGGACTGTTTCTCGGGGACGGGCCTCATTGATTACTGCACGAAACCAACTTTATTCACTGACTTTGGTGAAACTGGATAATATTTTATGAAGAAAATGACTTTGTGACTGTTGCTGCTGTTAGCTAGTTAGCTCAGTTAGTCGTGCAGCTGATTCTGCCCAGACTGGGAGCTTGAAAACCAGTTAGCCGCAGTTAGCGGTTACTTTAACAACATGTTAAGCTATCTGTCCATCAGGAAACTTCATAGAACACTGAGTAATGTTGCTTTAAAAGAGCACCAGTCAAATCTAAAACAAGTGCAAATTATGTAGAAACATGATGCAATATATTTTTGATTCATGTCTTACATCTCTTCAGCGGAAGCTTGAGTGTATGTTTCAGTCACATGCTTCATGTGCATCATGATTCATTAGTTTTTATTTCATTGCACTTTGTCACAATTTTGATTTTGATATTTCACCCATTTTTCAAATTTCCGCTTATGTGCAATTTGTGCAACTTGCTACCTTAGCTTACCTTAACTGGAACACCAACTTAACCGTACAACAGATTCACCTAAAGGTTGAATATTGTAAATCGCAATTAGTACATAACCATTACTATGTGTGCTTGTTGAAAAAAGAAAACAGGACTTGTGTCAGTGTTTTGTAAGCTATGGAGGGCTATGACATTCTCCAGTCAGTAGTGCACCACGGACGGGAAACATAACAAACCATTTCGAGGTTTCATAGCTTATATAGCATTTCCTTCCAAAAAGGGCAGAGCATTCAAATTTCAGTTTGACTACACTTGAAAATGCAGGTGGGGAGGGTGGTAGAACATAGATGGGAGCTCGCAATCTGTTGCTAAAGCGATAATAAGTTGTGTGGGTGTGAGAGCAGAACAGAGCAAGCAAGGAAAACTAGACTAGATACACTTGCACACACACATAAGCAACCAACACAGGCAGAGAGTAGGAGCTTCTTTTCAGAATTAGACAGCAGTGGATGTCGTTCTAATTTCCTTTTCTCCTCCTCTCTCCATCTTTATCCCTGTTTCTGCCGAGCAAAGCCTAATGATGTCCCTTGAGACAAGTGCTGGTTAACTACTAGCCATCAACGCTGGCAGGCACATAGACACAGACGCCTGCACGCTGCTACATACACACTGCACACACTCTTACATTCTGGCCAGCAGCTGGTAGCTTTGCCAACTGTGTCCCCCTGACTTGAAGGAGATATGGGGAGCAGATGTGACTCTATTCTGCCTGACAGGTCTGGGAGAAGAAAACAAGAGCCAGCAGTCTGTGTGTGGAGGAAAAGAGCCTGTCTCCACCCTTTACTCCCTGGAAACATACAACAGATTTGTCTTAGCATTGCATGGCTACGGCCACATCTTCATTCTATACAGAATATACTGAGGAAAGAACCAGACTGCATCCCATTACCCCAGAAACGCCTCTTCCTTTCCTTCACGTCTCCCTCCTTTCCTTTCTGATGTGTGCCCCTGCCATCCCGACACTGACGGAAACACAGTAAGCTGCTTCATTATCTCCTTTGCAGCAGCTTTGTTGGAGGGAGCGTGGGACTAGCCTTTCAGGAAGCATTTCCACTGCCACGCCTAGCTACAGTTTAAGCTGACATTTTCAACAATAAGTCACAAGATTAAAGCTCCCATGAATATCAGACACTAACAACAAATTTAAGCTGAATATTTTTTTTATTAGGATTTCAGAGATGTGTTTTTACTTGAAAATTTTAATGATTTCTACTGGCGGCACATACAGTAGCTTACAGCACTAGATCATGAGGCAGATTCAGACAAGGTGTCACGATAGAGCATTGTAAGAATTAAGTGCTGTGATTCACCAGAAGACTGAAAATCGGCGATAAAGCCACTTCATTTAAAATGAACATGATCCTTTCTCTGGATTCTGTTTCCCTTCTCTACTCCCCTGCCTTTCTTCTGAAAAATTCACAGCTTTAAAAACAGCGTGATCTAATCACAGCTCCTACTCTAAAATGGTGATATATGTGACACACATCAGCTTGACCCCTGATGCTGTGAGCCTATAGATAAAAAACAAAACTGATATACGATGTTGTTGTTTATGCCTTCTCAGCTTCTGAATATAAAGCACTGCCACGCCGAGGATGATCCAAATCCAATACTCTATGGAAGCTGCACTGTGAGGGCATGAGTTTGTTTGGGCTGGAGTGATTTATAATGAATTCATCTCGTGAGGCAAGAAGCTGAATAAACACACTGTACATGCAAATACTGAATGATCAAGTTCCCAGAGGATATTATCCACCATACTGAGACGTTTCAGCTCATGTATGTGTGTGCACGATATGTATCTATATAAGCATGGGTGTTAAACTAGTCTATTACTAGAGTTCACTCACCATTTCATGAATCTTTAGGTGAAGGGCTTATCTGTAATCAGGCTCATTTTCTTTATATGGGGATAAAGAGGGAGTAATTTATCTTTAATCTCATCAGATAGGGTGCTCAGCAGTGTGTGCACGCTGGAAACTAACATGGTAGATGCAGTCATAAACCACACCAATGTTCTGTCCCTCTCTCTCTCACTCACTCACACAGACACACACACACACACACACACACACACACACACACACACACACACACACACACACGCCGATTAACGAGTAATTTGCATTATGTGTGCACTAATCTGGGAGAAGGCCATAATTATACTTAGTGACAATAGCACAAAATGCTTGTTGGACTATTTATTACATGAGCCAGTCTGAGTAGCTGTCGGTATCTTCCGCTCACACACATACACACACGCACACACACAAATAAAGATACAGCTGTTAGTCCGGTAGTTTAATGCTGCTTCACTAATGTAATCATGGAGCATAGCGCACATTAAACATGTGCTAGGGCTAAATCCACCTCGGTACAGGAAAAAAGCACAAGTGAAAAGTACAAAATATATATATAGGGCAGATCTGAAAACAATCCAAATGTTAAAGAAAATCCATTTTTTCCTGTATGTCTATAGCCATGCCGGTAGTTTCAGTTTTGTCTCCCCAGGGGTTTTGAGATTTCTGCCACTGACAACCTCTGTTAACTTAATTTAAAAAATAGCCATTGTGATTTGATTAAAATAAATTCAACTGTCTGAAAAAATATGAAAAACAATATCAGCTTATATAATTAATAGCTTTAAATAACATCCAATGATAGTCCATACAAAACAACATATTAGGACATTACAGCTATGGTACTTCAGATAGGTAGGGTCATGTCAACAAGAAAGGTTGGAGACCACTGCTGTAGATGATGTAATTGTTCAATGCTTTGAACACCACAAACAAAAATCCTTTGACCTCCCGCCATTACAGTGGCAGCAGAAAATCTAAGAAAAGGATCTCAAAACCTGGGCAAATAAAACCAAACTATTGGAACAAGACAATACCATGATGTATGGTTGAATATAAAGAGCTGAAAGTAACAGAGAACCCCAAAGAGCTGCTTTATTAAGACCTTACAGACAGCCATGTAATCATAATTTTAATCTCAAGTTATACAGTATAAACTACACTGCTCAACATGACTGTTTCATACCATACTTGCCAACCATCCCGATTTTCCCATGACACTCCTGTTTTTCATTGCTCTCTCTCGATTTCCTCCCGGGGTCACAATTCTCCTGTGTTTCTCCCAATTTATGACACAATTTCACACATTCATCTCCCTGTTTGTTATCAGTGAGTGAGAGAGAGAAATAGGAAGTACCAAGAGAAAGAAATACTCAAGTCAATTTCAGACGTCCTGGAAAGAAGCATATGCCGGAGAAGTTTACGCCAGATGGGCAAATTATTCTGTATTCTTTCCAAAGACATTTAACATGTAAATGCTGTTGCAGTGTACTTATTATTTTGTAATTTTCATTCTTTAAAAGTCACCAGAATGCAGTTTCCTAGGGAGATCCCTAAGATTATGAAACCGCTTTGGTTTCGTAATCCTCCCTATTTTTGAGGTCCCAAGGTTGGCAAGTATCTTTCATACGGTTTTCTGTGTCTTTAAAAGAGGACACAAAATCTGTGATGCAGCACATCTTGAAAAGACACTAGGACACAATGGCATTTAAGTTCCTGCACATGGCATACTTTTGTTTAATTGGTCAGAGCAAGCCCACAAGGTTAATTGAGGCTGTCATGGTTGTTTGTATTGGCTGAATAATTCTTGAGATCAGCCTACATATCAGTTGGACGACTTGAAAGAAGGATTGAAAGATAACAGAAAGAAGATTAGCCTATTGGTCGTAGTTGAGATGTTTTAGCCTAAACAGGTTTGAAGAGGAGATTAATGTCTGAAGCAACTGCCGGGTTGCAGAACTGAGAGGCCCAACACATACACACGGGCAAACACACACGCACACACAAACACACCACCTTGTCACAACTCTTTTTAGCTCTCATCTGAAATGAGAACATGCCTTGGGCCGCGCTGGGAGAATGGAAGTCAAAGACAGAAAGAGAAGGAAAAAAAGAGAAGGACAGAGATGGAAATAAAATGAATGAGAAAAGCCAAAGGGGAGAACACAGAGTGATAAAAGGCCAAACCAGGGAAGGGAGAGAGAGAGAGAGAGAGAGAGAGAGAGAGAGAGAGAGAGAGAGAGAGAGAGAGAGAGAGAGACAAGACAGGGGCAGGGGATCAGCCTGGAGGGTCAGCAGTGTGAAAGAGTTGTGGTTCATTGTAATGTCTCAACCTCTTCCATCCTCCACCCCCTCCATCCATTCCCGACCACAGGCGCACCCCGCCTCCCACCCACCCCCTCCAGCAGCTATTTAACATGGAAATTGATTTAAACAGAAGCTGAGATATCCGCAGTGGGACCTGAGGACAGGTGCCTCCAGTCAGCAGAGGAGAAGCTAATGAGAGGTGAGAGACCCGAGCAGAGCTAACAAGGAAAGCAGAGAGCACAATGAGATGGGAGAGGAGAGGCAGAAATTAGAGGGAGGGAGCATAAAATGGGGAAAAAATTGGAGAGAAATGAGGGAGTCTGGCTTTTATAATTTCCAACTGGAGTTTCCAGCCAACTGTGAGACGAGAAATAAATAAATAAATGAGTGAGAAAAGTGTGAGTGTTCGTATGTGAGTTTGTGTGTGGGTGTACAGCTACAGTCTGCGGGTCACCAACACTTTCTAGTAAGGCAGAAGAACTGTTCAAATTTTACTCATGTGGAAATAAAGTTTATGGATTAAAATAAACAGTGAAGTGAAAGAAAACTGCTCAGTTAATAGCTTATGCAGAGAAAAGGTTAAAACAGCGATTGTGTATGAGCATCTTCGTGAATGAAAAGAGGACTTCCCATACAATGTTGGGCAAGTTACTAAGAAATTGTAATATATTACTGGTTACTTAATACTCCATAAAAAAGTAATATTATTACTTTACTTATTACTGGGTGATAAAAGTAACTAGTTACATTACTATATTACTTGACATGAATGATGGGGGGAGGGTGTATTCTAATGTTGGACAGGTTCCTTGAGAGAGAGAGAGATTATTTTTATTTTTTAACACACACACACATACGCTTTGATTACTTTACGCTTTAATTACTTGTTTAATGAAATGTATGGAGCTAATTGTTCTTACGTTGTGTATATATATGATGCATTGGCAATGTTGCTGTTACATTCATGCTAATAAAGCTAATTTGAATTGAATTGAGAGAGAGAGAAAGAAAGAGGGAGCGAGCCAGGAGGTGCTGCACCAATATATGCTCCTCAACACACCTCCTTAATAAAAAATGATTTTAAATATGAAGGCTAATAAAAATTTGGAAAATCAATATGGCGTCCGCGTTGATAATTATCCAAATTATTGGCTAATTATGGGAAACACCGTTTCCCTACCACCCCCCTTCACCCCCAAACAAAGCAGTCTCTCCCGACTTTTTAACTAACATCATATCCATAACAGCAGCAAGGAGTGTGGTTTTTAAAAAGCATAGGCCTGTAGCCTAGGCCTAACGTTTCTTAATGCCACCAGCTGAAATAAAAAAATAAAGCAAAGTAAATCCCGACTTTTAAACAGCAGTTTTACTGCACGTGTAGCCTGTTTATAAGAGCAGTAGCGTATTCAGTAGTTACAAAACGTTGCGTTAACACCACTCTCTCCCGATGAGTCCAAGCATCATTGACAGCAGCTGCCGGAGTTTCTTTCTGTAAGTTTCACGTTGCTGTGCTGCTTCAGCAGATGCCTCAATAAATCAGATGTAGAAATGTTCGCGGTTGAAAGCTTTTTGCTGGTCGCACAGAGTTTACACACAATAATGGCAGCAGTTACTTACAGCTGTGGAAAGAACGCCTCTCTCGCTCGTTCTCCATTCTTCCTTTAGTGTTTGGCTGTCAGCGGACATGAACAACAAAGTCCTGTACCGCTGAGCTGCCGCACAGTTGTGGATTTACGTCAAGGATGGTGCGTTCAGTAACGAGTAACGCAGTGCTACTTGCCTTAGTAACTAGTAATAATATTACCGTTTTAGAA